ACAGACCTCATCAAACTGTCCTTGTATTTCTCGCACCCAATGAGAACACCTTTCAACAGACCTCACCAAACTGTCCTTGTATTTCTAGCACCCAATGAGAACACCTTTCAACATACCTCACCAAACAGTCCTTGTATTTCTAGCACCCAATGAGAACACCTTTCAACAGACCTCACCAAACTGTCCTTGTATTTCTCAATGAGAACACCTTTCAACAGACCTCATCAAACTGTCCTTGTATTTCTCAATGAGAACACCTTTCAACAGACCTCATCAAACTGTCCTTGTATTTCTCAATGAGAACACCTTTCAACAGACCTCACCAAACTGTCCTTGTATTTCTCAATGAGAACACCTTTCAACAGACCTCATCAAACTGTCCTTGTATTTCTCAATGAGAACACCTTTCAACAGACCTCACCAAACTGTCCTTGTATTTCTAGCACCCAATGAGAACACCTTTCAACAGACCTCACCAAACTGTCCTTGTATTTCTAGCACCCAATGAGAACACCTTTCAACAGACCTCACCAAACTGTCCTTGTATTTCTAGCACCCAATGAGAACACCTTTCAACAGACCTCACCAAACTGTCCTTGTATTTCTAGCACCCAATGAGAACACCTTTCAACAGACCTCACCAAACTGTCCTTGTATTTCTAGCACCCAATGAGAACACCTTTCAACAGACCTCACCAAACTGTCCTTGTATTTCTAGCACCCAATGAGAACACCTTTCAACAGACCTCACCAAACTGTCCTTGTATTTCTAGCACCCAATGAGAACACCTTTCAACAGACCTCACCAAACTGTCCTTGTATTTCTAGCACCCAATGAGAACACCTTTCAACAGACCTCACCAAACTGTCCTTGTATTTCTAGCACCCAATGAGAACACCTTTCAACAGACCTCACCAAACTGTCCTTGTATTTCTAGCACCCAATGAGAACACCTTTCAACAGACCTCACCAAACTGTCCTTGTATTTCTAGCACCCAATGAGAACACCTTTCAACAGACCTCACCAAACTGTCCTTGTATTTCTAGCACCCAATGAGAACACCTTTCAACAGACCTCACCAAACTGTCCTTGTATTTCTAGCACCCAATGAGAACACCTTTCAACAGACCTCACCAAACTGTCCTTGTATTTCTAGCACCCAATGAGAACACCTTTCAACAGACCTCACCAAACTGTCCTTGTATTTCTAGCACCCAATGAGAACACCTTTCAACAGACCTCACCAAACTGTCCTTGTATTTCTAGCACCCAATGAGAACACCTTTCAACAGACCTCACCAAACTGTCCTTGTATTTCTAGCACCCAATGAGAACACCTTTCAACAGACCTCACCAAACTGTCCTTGTATTTCTAGCACCCAATGAGAACACCTTTCAACAGACCTCACCAAACTGTCCTTGTATTTCTCGCACCCAATGAGAACACCTTTCAACAGACCTCACCAAACTGTCCTTGTATTTCTAGCACCCAATGAGAACACCTTTCAACAGACCTCATCAAACTGTCCTTGTATTTCTAGCACCCAATGAGAACACCTTTCAACAGAACTCACCAAACTGTCCTTGTATTTCTAGCACCCAATGAGAACACCTTTCAACAGACCTCATCAAACTGTCCTTGTATTTCTCAATGAGAACACCTTTCAACAGACCTCATCAAACTGTCCTTGTATTTCTCAATGAGAACACCTTTCAACAGACCTCACCAAACTGTCCTTGTATTTCTCAATGAGAACACCTTTCAACAGACCTCATCAAACTGTCCTTGTATTTCTCAATGAGAACACCTTTCAACAGACCTCACCAAACTGTCCTTGTATTTCTAGCACCCAATGAGAACACCTTTCAACAGACCTCACCAAACTGTCCTTGTATTTCTAGCACCCAATGAGAACACCTTTCAACAGACCTCATCAAACTGTCCTTGTATTTCTAGCACCCAATGAGACCACCTTTCAACAGACCTCATCAAACTGTCCTTGTATTTCTAGCACCCAATGAGACCACCTTTCAACAGACCTCATCAAACTGTCCTTGTATTTCTAGCACCCAATGAGAACACCTTTCAACAGACCTCACCAAACTGTCCTTGTATTTCTAGCACCCAATGAGACCACCTTTCAACAGACCTCATCAAACTGTCCTTGTATTTCTCGCACCCAATGAGAACACCTTTCAACAGACCTCATCAAACTGTCCTTGTATTTCTAGCACCCAATGAGAACACCTTTCAACAGACCTCATCAAACTGTCCTTGTATTTCTAGCACCCAATGAGAACACCTTTCAACAGACCTCACCAAACTGTCCTTGTATTTCTAGCACCCAATGAGAACACCTTTCAACAGACCTCATCAAACTGTCCTTGTATTTCTAGCACCCAATGAGAACACCTTTCAACAGACCTCACCAAACTGTCCTTGTATTTCTAGCACCCAATGAGAACACCTTTCAACAGACCTCATCAAACTGTCCTTGTATTTCTAGCACCCAATGAGAACACCTTTCAACAGACCTCACCAAACTGTCCTTGTATTTCTAGCACCCAATGAGAACACCTTTCAACAGACCTCACCAAACTGTCCTTGTATTTCTAGCACCCAATGAGAACACCTTTCAACAGACCTCACCAAACTGTCCTTGTATTTCTAGCACCCAATGAGAACACCTTTCAACAGACCTCACCAAACTGTCCTTGTATTTCTAGCACCCAATGAGAACACCTTTCAACAGACCTCACCAAACTGTCCTTGTATTTCTAGCACCCAATGAGAACACCTTTCAACAGACCTCACCAAACTGTCCTTGTATTTCTAGCACCCAATGAGAACACCTTTCAACAGACCTCACCAAACTGTCCTTGTATTTCTAGCACCCAATGAGAACACCTTTCAACAGACCTCACCAAACTGTCCTTGTATTTCTAGCACCCAATGAGAACACCTTTCAACAGACCTCACCAAACTGTCCTTGTATTTCTAGCACCCAATGAGAACACCTTTCAACAGACCTCACCAAACTGTCCTTGTATTTCTAGCACCCAATGAGAACACCTTTCAACAGACCTCACCAAACTGTCCTTGTATTTCTAGCACCCAATGAGAACACCTTTCAACAGACCTCACCAAACTGTCCTTGTATTTCTAGCACCCAATGAGAACACCTTTCAACAGACCTCATCAAACTGTCCTTGTATTTCTAGCACCCAATGAGAACACCTTTCAACAGACCTCATCAAACTGTCCTTGTATTTCTAGCACCCAGTGAGAACACCTTTCAACAGACCTCATCAAACTGTCCTTGTATTTCTCAATATTGCATCATTTTGGGGGTGAGTTTTTAAGTATTTTGTTTACTAAGTTTTCATTTGTTAGCCTATTTGTCAGCTGATGTCCACATCTCCAATTTCCTTTAAGTCTTATTTAATCTGAAAATTTCCTTGGGCTTTAAATAAGATTTAAAACCGAGGTTGATGTGGTCCTTACATTAGAGTTCCTAATTTGTAGTGGTCATTGCATTAAAACTCATATCAAAAGCTAAAAACCTTAGAAACACATTTTTTTTTAATGGTACCTGATATTTCAAGACTTGAAAAAAAAACAATAGGTTGATATTACAAAGGAAATGTTCAGTGCTGCACTCAGAGGAAAGCTTAAACCCTCAATGGTGATGCCAAAGACAATGCCTGAATGAACAAGGCGTTTCTCATGTGCCATGTCAAGAATGGGGTTTCATTCCTTACACCTACCCGAGTCGTGCTGGAGAACAAGCTGTTGTTCTTGCTGTTGCTGGAACTGACGCTGCTGCTGCTGTTGCTGCTGTACTTGCTGCTGCTGTTGCTGCGGCTGCAGATCCATCCCCCTGATTGGTGAGAGGAATATGTGGTTGGGGTTGGTGCCCATCATGGTGAGCTGTCCGGTACCGTTTGATGGAGCCAACAGCATGGACTGGGTGGGCATCCCTGTAGACATACAAGAACAAGACAAGAAAGCTCATCTCCCTGCTAGAGCAAAATTAGATTAACAATCAGCTGTTTCCTCATGCTCATGAGCTGGGTTTTCAAACCTTTTCTGTATTCTGCTACCCTTTCAAATTGTTTGACTGAGTCTCACCACATGCCCTTACTCCAGTACAAAAGCATTAAAATGTCTTTATTGCATTACAAAGAGAACTGTAGAGCTCAGAAAATTAACTTGTGACTTACTGCATAGAATGAAATGTTCATGAAGGGATCAAAAAAAGTTAACAAACATTATGTCATGATTATCTCAACGGTCTCTCTTTACTTGTAATCCCTTTTCCTAGCAACCCCTGGAACAGTAGATTACAACCCTGGTTGGGGCACCAGGCTACAGAGAATAAGTTTATAATGCCTTATGGGCTAATCATTTTTAATTTTTTGTTAACCTGATGGGGAAAATGTGCCATTTTCATATAAAATTCTGAAATGGGGCAGACTTTGAAAAGAGGACAAAGATGATGTCATTCAATAATTTATGTACACACTGTGAATAACATCAAGAGAATAAATATTTGAATGAAGGTAGCTTCTTGATTTCCACAACTATTGGGCCAATGAGCTGTCTGACACAAGTTTGTTAGAAGTAAACAAAAAAATCATAAGAAATTACCATAAGTCATAGAGTGTGTTTGATACAGATTTATAACCAGGTGTGCCCATATCCCCTGGGAGTGAGGGAGGTGCAGAGAGACCCAGAAAAATCAGGTTTAGTGTCCATTTTTATTCACATTTTTTATCCTGGGGTATGCGGGAAATATATTTTGAAATCGAGATCCGGGCGCAGAAGAAAAAAATTAATAAAGAGGAGTGCGGTGCCGCAAAAAAGTTAAGATCCACTAGTTTAATTCAAGTCTGAAACTAACCGAGCTGTTGTTGAAGAATGTACTGATGCGGGTGATGTTGTTGCTGTTGCTGAAGCTGGGACTGCTGTTGCTGCTGCATCTGCCTTTGCTGTTGAGAAACCATTTGGTTACTGCCCTGGGCATATGCCAGCTGCTCCTTGATCAGCATCAGTTCCTCCTGCTGTCTTTGGATCGCCGCCTGGAGCTGCTCAGACTTGTGACGAAGTTGCTCATGCAGCAGCTGTTGGGCTGGTGTCAATAACAGACTTGTTTGGTACTAGAAATATATCATTACATATTGTCAATATCTGACTTGTTTGCTACTAGAAATATAACATTTCATAGTGTCAATAGCTGACTTGTTTGATACTAGAAATATAACACTGCATATTGTCAATATCTGACTTGTTTGCTACTAGAAATATAACATTTCATAGTGTCAATAGCTGACTTGTTTGATACTAGAAATATAACACTGCATATTGTCAATATCTGACTTGTTTGCTACTAGAAATATAGCATTTCATAGTGTCAATATCTGACTTCTTGATACTAAAAATATAACACTGCATAGTGTCAATATCTGACTTGTTGATACTAGAAATATAACATTACAGTGTCAATATCTGAATTGTTTGATACTAGAAATATAACATTACATAGTGTCAATATCAAACTTGTTTAGTACTAGAAAATAATTTATTTGCGTAATTTTTTTCTGGAATATTATCTCAGATTGCAAAAATAACTGAATGAACCAATTTGATACTCACAGTAGGCCTTTGGTCAGTGCACACAATGGGAGAGGTCAGAGGTGAGGAGATAATGGCAGAAGCCTGACAACTAATGTTGGAAGGCACTGAGCTCAGCAGCTGTGGAAAATAAAACATTCTGAAGCGGTCTAAACTGTTTCAAACCAAATAGTTGGTGGTCTGGAGTTCAATCCTCACCAAAGGCAACATCCCAGCACCCCAGGGGGATGGGACTTGTAAGCCTTGGACGGCAACCCATCTAAGAGAAGGCAAACTCTGAATTTAAACCAGGGGCCAGAATGATCAACAAATTGATCGTGGGCCCCTCTAATATAAGAAGAAGAAGATTCAGATATTTAAATTAATTTTTTTTTTGTTTAAATCAGAGTTTAAACAATTATATATTTAACAACCATTCAGTGATCTTAATAAAAATTTAAGAATAAAGAAAGATTTAGGAATTTAAGAAACATTCATTACATGCTATAATATCCTGCATTATAGTAGAAGTACAAAAATGAAATATGTCTTTTTTTTAAATCTATTTTTGTCTTTCAATTTTAACTATGAAAAATTAAAAATAATGCCATAATTATTTTAAAAAAAATTTTTTTTTTAAACAAACATCAGTTATATTTTTTTTTAAATGAACTCAGATTCGATATTACGTTGTATTTGAAAAGGCCCATTTATTCACACGTGAAAACAAACCAGAAAATTAAAATGTCTCTAGCATAATGATATAGTGAGTCCATTTTTAACAAGGAGAATTTTGTTGCAGTGCTTGCATATTTTCAGTCCAAGAAATAAACATTACAATTGTACACAAATGCACTCACCCTATGGTTTGTTGCCATGGTGACTAAACTGGTTGACATGGCAGCCATGATGGGCACGAGATTTGGGACTGTCCTTGATTGGCTGACAGAGATTTGTTGACATGGCGTGACAAGGGTAGCCTGAGAACTACTTGTGACCTGAACAATTACAATGTAAAATACGTGATTAGGGGAACATTGAAATATATGTCAGGGATTAAACTTGAAAGCCACCCTGCCTCTACTCTGAAAAATGTCTCAGAGGATGTTTCAGTTCCTAAATTCCTATGGGTTTTAGGATCCCACAAGTTCTCATAAAACCCCATATATTTCTGGTCACATGTGACTGGTTCACTTTAATACCATAGTGTACCATGGCTCTCACCCCCAAAATAGGCCCAGTTGTTATTAACAAACATGAAAGACAAATTTAATATTCAGTATTGCTGCATATATGAACTTCAAAAAAAAAAAATCTCTTTAGAAAAATTTGAAGCATTTCTTCTGGAAGAATGTAAAGAAAATGTTAAGTAACATTTTTCTACTGTCCTTAACTACATTTTTATATTGAAATATTCAAGGATATGCAGTTCTTCCACATGACAATAAAATACAGGTGAATATTCACTCTGCGGGTTAAGAGAATGACTTATAAATCCTACATTGCTTCTTTACATATAATTACCATAGTCTGAGAAGTGTTGGGGGCTTGAGAGGAGACTGCCGACTTGGATGGTGCTGAGCTGTTGACCACCTGTGATGCAGAAGAGGCAGCCAGGGATCTCTGCAGGTGAAGCTGCAACAGTGACTGAAGCTGGCTGCTGACATGTTTACGGGTGCTGCTCTCTTGCTTGGTGGAGTGTGGCTGCTGAGGACAGTCACTGTCAGAGTGCTGACCTTTCAGGGAAAAAATGGACAAGCTCATCATCACAGCTTTATATGGGCAGTTTATATTTGACACAGCCCATCAACAGTAACTCAACTTAATTTTGACCAATCTTAAGCTCAGATCATGTGGCACTCCCTGTATATGAGGGAGTTAAACTTTGAATTAAATCATTTTATGTAGAATCAATCTCTCCAAGTTGTTTCAAAGCCTTAATTGCTCCTCCCAGTCCACTTCTTTCAAATTTAAAAAAATGGTTTAAATTTCCTTTAGTTTAAAAATTTAGTAGTGAATTATCAAAATTGGAAACAGTTTAAGTTTGATTCGCTGATGTCATTAAGGGATTGAGAGAATTATTAAACTGTGGAGTGCTGTGATAATATGATATGATATAATATGGCAACAACATGATATTTCATTGACAACCAAGGAATCATATAAAATTTCTGCAATGTCAATTTACTGCAAAAGTTTGTGCCCTTTTTTTTTTTTCTTACTTGAAGCAATATCAGGAGACTGTACCATCTTCCCAACATTTTCCGATTGGCTGAATGAAGTCACATGACCTTCCTGCTGTGGCTGGCCTTCTTGGCCAAGTCCTGAGTTACTGCCACTGCTACTGTTGCTGTTGTTATTAAGAGTGTTGGAATTATTGCTGCCCACGTCTCCCTCCATGTATCCCATGTCTTGCCGCAGTTGTCTCCTCACATCACTATATCTGGAATATGAAGTAAAAAGTAAATGTTATACCTCTGAATAAGGAGCTTCATAGGAACTGACCTGGCTTAGCAATAATAAGTGTTTATTATGTTCCCTCTATTGTTATTTGCACTTAACTTAATATTTTAAAATGAGCCAAATTTCTGTGGCACTCACCTCACAACTGTATTTGTGCACACAATAAATTCTGGCTTTGAGTTCCATTGGTGATAGGTGATATAGTACCGGGTCTGTAACCATATCCACTGTTGACCTTTGGTCAAAAAACGGTAAAACTTGGATGTACCTTTCCCTAGCAGCATCACTGCAATAAGCAAATACATCCCCATAAGCAATGTTAATAATATTCAAATACCCTGAATATTACAAGATACTTAAATAATTTAATTGCTATTTCAATTGCTAAAGAAAAAATTCAAATTTTATTATTTTTTATAAAAAAATACAATGAACACTCTTCTTATCTTAAAAGGAAAGAACTAAGTAGTTGTGGATTGAAGATACACAAATTACAGCATAACTCTACAAAAATACTTTCAAACCAGATTACATTGTTCATGGCATTTTGAAACAACCTCCAGGTCATCAGGGTGATAGTAGTCATAGCCTGATGTTCCCAACACCTCAAATGGCAGGTAGCCAATAATGGGGGGTGCCCTGTAAGTACAAGAGAATAATAGTCATTTCTTTAACTGTACTTTTAAAAAAAAACAAATTTATTTTCTATAGAAATAAAATCTCTTCTGGTAAAATATAAATGATTCTGCTTTTGCTATTTAATCATTTATGAAATTTTATCAAATAAGATGAAAACTGAATGACAAGTGAACATTCCATCAGCTAAAAAATATATATTTTAGGTTACATCCAGATAGCTTAAGTTGTTAGTTCTTTAAATTCACTTTCATCAACTTTAAGTGATATGATCTGTGAGTAATATATATAAATATGTATGTTATAAATATGTATATCAAGAGTATAATAATAATAATTATATTATACATGCGTATTCTGTCTGTTCCCAAGACACACACTAAAACATATGGTGAACGATCTTTCTCTTTCTGCGCCCCCAAACAATGGAATTCTTTGCCACTACACATACGCAATATACCAACCACCCAGGCCTTCAAAACTGCACTAAAAACAAAATATCTTTTTAAATTATACTACCCTGACTGATTCCCCTCCTCTGACCGATAAATGATCTTGCTGGCTGCCGTCCATGGTTTGCCTTGTAAAAGTTATGAGGTGGGGTGGGTGAATATACATTGCTGTACTTTATTTCATAAATGTATTTTATTTTAATGTCATGATTATGTCTCTTTTGATAAAATTTTTATGTACAGCGCGGTGAGCCCAGCCCTAGGCTGGGGTACCGCGCTATATAAGACCTCTTATTATTATTATTATTTTCAAAATCATCATACAAAAGGGGTCAGGGAGAAGAGGAAAACCAACTGAAGAATCTCTTTGTCAAAAAATAACCATGCCTTGTTAATTGAATAATTTCTTGCGTGTCACCAACAGGAGTTCTCTGGTGGAGATTCCCATAATTACATCATACGGGATTCATGAGTGGAAACTAATGTCCCAACCATTGTGAAAATAATAAATACAGCACTCACCTGTGGTCTAAAAATAGAAACTTCCATTCAAGGGAATGACGAGATGTGAATTCACATGAACTCTCATCGACCATTGACATTTCCCTGATTACATGAGAGGTCTGGAGGCGTACAGCACAGCAGAAACACAGAGACTGCTCTGGTAAGTCTAATCCAATAAAATCACTGTTGTCACATATTACACTGTCATCTAAGGGGTACATTTTTTGGGAATTACATAGAATGTTATACCTTTAATTTTTGACATTTCAATATTATTATTTTTTAGACTTCAGTATTTTGTGTTAATATGTTGCATAATTTAAAACCAATACCCTAGGATTCTCAAATTGATCAATAGCTTTTTAATTAATCTAGTTATTTGCCGCTTGATGCATTGAGCATGCACTATGCAATGCTTGAAGTCCTGAAAAGATTTTTTTTTACAAAATGAAATCATTAATAACAGTTTTCCCTCCTGACAAAAGTCATTATTTCACTAAATAATACTCACTCTCTATTTCACTAAATTAAATAATACTCACTCTCTATTTAACTAAATAATACTCACTCTCCATTTCACTAAATAATACTCACTCTCTATTTCACTAAATAATACTCACTCTCTATTTCACTAAATCATACTGATTCTCCATTTCACTAAATCATACTGATTCTCCATTTCACTAAATAATACTCACTCTCTATTTCACTAAATAATACTCACTCTCTATTTCACTAAATAATACTCACTCTCTATTTCACTAAATAATACTCACTCTCTATTTCACTAAATAATACTCACTCTCTATTTCACTAAAGAGCTAAGGCTTTCTCACTCTCTATTTCACTAATGAACTAGGGTTCACTCACCCTCTAATTCACTAATGAACTAAGGCTTACTCACCACCTATTTCACTAATACTTGCTCACCCTCTATTTCACTAATGAACTAAGGCTCACTCACCCTCTATTTCGCTCATGTACTGTGATGTTCCACAAACCCTAACATACTCGTAAGTTGCCGTCTCTGCAGGATCAATTGTTCCTCTTCTAAGATGACAGTTGAAAGATATACTGTTCTCATCTGAAACCACACATAATTAAATGCCAGTCAAAATGATAACCAAAGCCCCCATACAGGTTTGAAATTCTCCTATACAAATAATGGCCATTCTTAAATTTCTAATAAAGGAGGAAATGATGTTTCCTGCTTCATTTATTCCCTAAAATAGTTTTCAAGGTTAATCATCACAGAGAAATTGAAGTGAACTAGGTAACATCTTCTTTTACAAGCTGTCTCATAACATTGGAAAACAAACATTTTGAGGTTTTTTTTAGTAGTTAAAGGAGAAGAATTTAGATATGACACCCATCTCACCCAAAAAGCCTTGAGATTGTTGCTTTGAGAGTAAATTGAAAAATTTCAAGCGATCATCTTCGTGCATGAGATCATACAGAGAGTGGTTAATCAGGTCTCCCTGGTGAAGATTTAAACAAAATTAGTTAGTCTGTTTAATTTTTTTTTTAATTCAATTGTATATGATATAAATATTTGTTGATTAATTTACATAAATTAATAACGTCATATTCATTAACTTCCCATATTTAATAGTTTATTTCTTAAGTGATAGAATTGTAAGAAAATGAACAAGCACTATGATAACCATTTCTCGCTTTCTACCATGGCATAGAAATAGTGAGTTAGTTAAAACATACCGGCAAATGTCCAAGTAGTGATGTGATGCTGTCTGAGGTGAAGAGTACCTTCCCTTGCTGAGTGAACACTATAAGGAAGCTGTCCACAGCCTTAAGTTCCAAGATATTTGATAAAATCAAAAACATTTAAGTTTAAGTTCTGTAATTTTTTTTTCTTCAATCTTCCTGTTTAATTTTTTTCTTTATACTTTTATATGTTGTCAAAAAATTAGAAGATGCTTTCTACTACGTAGAACCGGCTTTCCACATGTGACATTGCTTTAGCTTTTCTTACAATTTAATCCTATACTTCTTTCTTTTTTCCGTCACACTGAGAACAATCTTCAAAGAAATACGGAAAATTTGTTTGTAAAAAAAGTCCTTGGTGATATCGCAAACATTTCAAATAAAATAAAAGGCATAAGCTGTAAATGACCAGACTGCAAAGAAACACTGGTAATAAAACTAAAATGATCTCACCTCTAGCATGAGTTGAGCAAATTCTTCATTGCTCAAAAAGGTCGGCTTCCAGTCTTCTTTTATTTCATTGGCAGCAGACTGAACGGAAAATTCTGGACAGATATGATGAAATAATATGTTAATGATTTAAAATAATTCAAAACTCTAGGGTAAAGCACACAAAAAACTGTTCTTCTAAAATATTTGCAGAGTTTGTCTCCTTCAGTTCAGCATTGTACTAAATATAATTAATTTATAATGTCCCATTCAGTTCAGGATTGTACTTACTATATTAATTTATTATCTTATAAATTATCTGCCCATCATGTATAAAACAAGAATGTAAAATCTGACTATAAATTGTCATTTGAGAATGTTCTGTGCCTGAAAAACCTGTCAACGGAAATGTCCATCTGTGTTAGATAATCCATATTTCATTTGTGTTGCATAATGTTTTAAGCCACATTACCTTGATGGTTCCTTAAGAATTGAATGGCAGATTTGAGTACGGATGATTTGTCTAACTTTTTGCTGTTGGCAGCAACCATAGAACAGAGCTCATTAACTAGAACATTGAATTGGTCCCTCCTTTTCTTCTCACTGAGGTTTCGAGTTTTACTAGAGTAAAAATATTTAAAATTGTTATATAGAAAAGCTGACAATTTTGTCAAATTATAAAAGATAACATCCATTTGAAATTATCCTTATGAAAATTTTAAAAACCTTTACCAAACATCACATGATAGATTATGAATATGTTTAGGAATTTCTGCTCTTCGTGTGTCATTATTTGTTTAGGTTCAAATTTATTCCTAAAAGTCACAAGCCGAGACGAGCTAAAAAGAAAAAAAACTTTATATATTTCTATTCAACATTTAAACCATGCATGAGTGCATCTTAAAATATATATATATCTACTTTGTAGATAGATCAGGCAATTTACCGCTTGACATTGTCTTTTTCATCATCTTCCAGATCATCGAAGCTTAAGACACTTTCACTGTAAAATGTAAAAATGATCAGGTAATTACTCAAATTAAGTGCCTCAACTACAACAAAGCTAATGAGATTTATAAGTCTAAAAACAAATTATTGTATTTTTTTAAAGGCTTTTCATTCTCTGTTATGTAGCCCAGCCTCTGGCAAATGAATACAATTTCATTATCTTTAAAAATTTAATAAAACGAAAAGACAGTAGACTCAGTAGAATATAATTATAATTGCCGATAGAACCATGTCACAACATTGATCACTGTGGACTACTGGCGTGGATATTTTTGCAAATAAAATTAAATTGTATAGCCTTGCCAAATTCAAAGCCGTAATCTTAGCTGCAAGCCAAGAAATTGTGAGAATTATGTTTGGTGCAAGTGCAGTATCTGACATTAATAGGATTCTACTGACAATAAAATAAGCAGACGTATTTCAGACATGTCCACCAATATTGAAAGTCAAGTTTTAGCAAAATATAGACGTGAATTCTTTGTCCTGCAGGTGGATGAAAGAACTGATGTCAGTGGTAAATCACAGCTTATGGGGTGTGTACGTTTGATTGAAAATGGCAAATGGTGCTATTTTTTTATTTTTTTCTGCTGTAAGGAGTAACCAGAAACAACATAAGGACAAGACATATTTGACGGTGTGAACTGGAAAAACAGCATTGACATTTGTACAGATGGCACCCATTGCATGACGGAAAATGTCAATGGTTTGTCAGTTTGTCTCGCTGGTGCCACAAATGAATCCAACTATCATGGTCACATTCACATTCTGTTTCACTCACAGAGAGGCATTAGTTGCATTGCAAATGACAGAACATTGAGCCTAAAACATGCAGAAATGAACTTTGATGTTTTTTTTGTTGACAGGTTGAAAAGGGGTACCCAGCTATCATAGAAGAAAGCTTTGAGAGCTTGAGTTTGAGACTTCTGTTGCAGTTTGTAATTGTAAGTTCTTACATGTGGGAATTCAGATTTTCTGCTACGAACACCATCAAACACAAGAAACGAGAATGACTTTTGTCTGTAAAAGATGAACTTCGGACATCTCTCTTGAACAATAGTCAATCATAGTTATAATTCATCAATATAAAATATAAATAATTCATAGTGCTTACCTCTCGATACTTAAACTTGATGGGCGAAACAAAACTATCTTTTTTCCGTAATTCATGGCAAATAGAAGAAAAAACTTATCCAAACGGTAATTTATGTATCATTTTTAACATATGTATAATAGCGACGAATGAATTTAACTATTTGAATGTTTTGTTAAAGTATTTAACGCATGGAATAAACATATAAAAAGATCTATTGATATTGAATGCGACCATATTGCTGTGAATTCCAGATAATTTCCTCCTTTGCATTATTTAACCAATCAAATTACAGTATAAATCAAGGGTTTGCACCACAATAAAAAAAAAAAATACATTTTTTACGATAGGCGCCCTTTATAATTTAGATTTTCGTTTAACTTCGCTTTTGTGTGTCTAGGGCAAGATCTCCAGACGGCTATTTGACCAACTCCCCGTCAACCAATCAAGCTAAAACTTGGCACATAGACTCGTTGCTAATGATAACACATTCTTTCAAATTTTCAGCCCTACCCAAAATAAGGGGGGGGGGGGGATGGGTTGGGGTGTCTCCTGTTTTTCAAGAGGAAGGTGAAGGAAATTTGATGCCATTAGTTTCATGAAATAAAATTCCCGATAACTGCGCTTAAGGAGATCTTTAAAAATATATCGCAAGTGCGTTTGGTGTGTGATATTTTCTTTTGTTTTTCTGAAATAGTTGGTGAAATAAATCTGTTGTGTAAAAGCGGGTGGGACTTTAGAATATTAATATAAAATTAAATAATACAAAATGAATTTAAAGGGCTTAAAAGGATATACGAAAAACTTTGTTTTTAGGGGTTGTTTTATTATTATTATGATTATGATGATAATCTAAACCAGTGGCTCACCATCTTTGTTTAAATCAAACAGTACAACACACTTGAAATTATTTCTTAAATTCTTTTACACCCCATACAATCATGCATAACTAAGAAATATAGGGCTGTGTTAGTGAGTGATAGGTAGCTTCCAAGTATATTAATGAATATTCTTATTAGATGAAATTTATTATAATGCTATATTTTAAGTATCATCTTACCTCGAATGAGGTACATTGCCCCAAAACTATTTTTAATAGGTTTTTATTCTTGACATCAAATATTGCAAGAAGAATTGAACCATTTTTTAGACACACCAGTGTTTTCACACCAGTTGTAAAGTACTCGTCTCGATCAAGTCAGAAGCATCAAATAGATCAACTTCAAATAAGTTAGCAATCAGATTTGAGATAGTGTTCGTTCCCTGTTTGAAATACTGTCTTTCATGAAACGCACATGTCACTTAAATGATTATGATGGATTACAGCTCGTGAGAACCAGTTTTAAAAGTTTGAGTGGCTAGTTTGATGCAAGAGTGTGGAGGGCCATAAACTGACACATAAGTTCAACAACTGTTATTTGATCAACAAAAGGAAAAAACATTAGGAAGCTGAGGTGAAAAATTTCTAGATGGCTTTTACTTTTATCATATGGGAATATTAAAGTAAGGTCAAGAAAGTCAACCTCAATTACTTAATCAACATTTTAAAAATTTATTTTTAAAATGCTTCAACTCATTTTGGGTGTTATGAGCTATGAAAATTAAAATTTAATTTTTAGGTAACATTTGACCAGATGTTCCAAAATTTAAGCGAGAAGCTACCTAAGAGTGGTACATTTACCTGGATATTTAAAGGTAAGATTAAAAATAAAATTTTTGATTGAGCAATGCTTAGGAATCAGTTAAATGATATCAACACGTTTTTATTATAGTTCATAGAGACATGAAAATTCTATCAATTTTTCTAGGTTTGAAATATTTTTGCTGAAAAGAAAATCTTGTTTGTAATCCATCCTTAGAGAATCAAAAAACATTGTAAACATTTTTTACACATATTTTTTAATATCTTAATCATAGCCAATTCTGGATTTGCAGACTCATAGCAATAGGGCAGTCAAAGACATCATTTACTGGTGGGCAGTCAGCAGCCCTCTTTCTTTATCTGTGTCTCTTATCTGCCTCTCAACGGTGAATATTGAATATCAGTGTGACAGTTTTTTTATTAAGGCCGTAACTATCATGGACAAAGTCTCCAGTTACTTCAAGGTCTACTAATGTCAACTGATGCTTTTAACAGTCTTTGGAAAGCTTTTCAGGGCCAACTCTATTCTGCTGTCCTTTGCACAGCTTACTTAAGAAAACAGCTTTAGGTGCTTCTAGGAAAATGTATCTTATTTATTCTATTTTAAAAGATATAGTAACTGTAAAAAATGCCAGCAAGCTGGCACGAATAACTTGAAAGCAAGCATATCTTGTTTGATTATCTTTTTTTAATAGCAATTTATTTAACTACAATTTAGAGCACAATTCATGCATTTCAATCTTTTGATTTGTCTTCTTCTGTCCCTGGGGCTGAAGGTTCATCATCTTTTTCTTCTTTACGTCTTTTGCTTTTTTTGTGTTTCCCCCCACTTCTTGTAGATTCAGAATCAGACTCCTCTCTGTCCCTGTCTCTATGTTTTCTGGAGAGAAAAAAGTAGAATTTTTTTGCTAACATTGGAGGGTAAAAATTTAAAGGACAAATATAAAATGTATGGAAATGTTATGGGTAAGTAAGTATTAAAGCCAAAACTGGGTGAGCAGCATAAGCTCCTTGAGACTTTTGGATTAAATGTTAATATTTTTTTTAAACCTCCACCCAAGTCAATAAGGCTGTACCTCAGTACCTCAACCCAAGTCAGTAAAGTTGTACCTCAACCCTAGTCAATCAGGTTGTAACTTAACCCAAGTCAGTAAAGTTGTCCCTTAACCTAAGTCAGTAAGGTTTTACCTCAACCCTAGCCAATCAGCCGGTACCTCAACCCTAGTTACAAACTTAACAGCCTGAAAGTTTGGAAAGTGAAAAGAAATCAAACCTGCGTGAGGACTTGTGTTTATCATCCCGGTCTTTCACACGAGATGAATCCCTATTGTGCGAAGTCTCTCTGTCTCGATTTCTTGAGGATTCTTTTTCCCTTGATCTTGACCTATCTCTGTCACGATCTCTATCCCTGTCACGTTCCCTGTCTCTTTCTCTATCTCTCTCCCTTTCTCTGCTTCTGTCTCTGTCTCTTTCTCTACTTCTATCCCTTGTATCTCTGTCTCTGTCCCAGTCTCGATCTCGCTCTCTGAACAGCCTGCAAAATAAAACATGTATTAGAAATCAGGTACTTCATCCATGTTTATCTGTTGTAATGCAATAAATAGAAAATGAATGACTTTGTTTAGTTAAAATGTTAGTGTTTGCCACTTTTGCTGTATTATAAGGAACTAAATCATTTTAAATCACTTAATTAAGTCAGGGCGCAGATTATGAGGTAAATACAATGCACTTCGAGAACATCTCCAGTTGTAAAGTAGGTCTCTTCCGTTTGTCAACAACATGGCTAATATCAACAAACATACCTATCTTCATAGTCATCCCTGCGAGGACTCCTTTCTCTTACATTTCTTTCTCGTCGTCCTGGATCCCAACGATCTGGAAAACTAAAGAAAGAGGATAAATTAATTCCTTTTAAAATTCAATTATACTTTTATACTAGCACCGGTTATAAATAAAAAAATTATTTGTTATTATCATGAGTTATGACTAAAATATTTGTATAAATTCTTTTCACTTTGCCTTCAAGACATTAGCATATAAGTAGTTTTCTAAAAATCAAATCTTCACGCAGGATTATTTCTTATTTTTAAAAAATGAAAACATTTTGATGCACAAAGTAATGTTAAAAATAACTTCTGGCGTAACACACAGCAGGCAACTTGTTTACTTCCTTACATTTTTTCAGCTTATTTACATAGTTTCACATGCTTTATTTTGTTCTGTTTTCATTCAAGTGCTAATGGATATGTTACCCACCCCTACCCCCCAAAACATCATTCGGCACATGAGTGAGATGAAGAAATCATGGTAGAAAGGGGGGCAGTTGAGGGAAATACATGACAAGAGGACAGAGAGGCTTTCTTCCACCCGTTGTTTAGGGAATTCATCTGACATTAAACAAAGATCAAATAGATTAATCAAGAAAGCTAGTAATATCACACAAACTAAAAATCTATTTGAAGAAAAATGCTGTTGTAAAACTAAAAAAAAATTTGATTGATAGATCCCACCCTCTTCATTATAGATACCTAAGATCAGCTCAATCAGAGTGAATTCATTCCCTTTAAAGTTAGAACCAGAAGATATCAAAATTCTTAAGTTCCCCGGTCTGTCAGAATTTACCAGCATCCTCCCCAGAGGTTACAACATCTAAATTAAAATGATCACTAATTTAAGTCATTATTGGCACTAAGAAGTTTTATGGTATATGATGGCTGATTTTTTAAGCTTGAGAAATACTTCAGATGTCTTGTATATTTAAATTGTTTTAATTGTAAATGTTGTTTGGTTAAGATATGTATTTATTTATGAGCTGAAATTGAATATGTACAAAGCAATTTAAAAAAAAAACATTTCCATTTAATTGGATCAATAAAAGAATATATATTCTTATCTTATATCATTTTCTTGATTTTATAGCAGTATTACAAAGTCAAAATGCCAAAATTTGAAACAATAATCATTCCATTTTTACTCAGAATGAAATGTCCAAGTAGGTAATACAACAATATGCAACCAGTTTTTATTGAACATAAGTGGGTAAATTATTAATTTGAGAAGTCCAAATGACCTGTATTCTCACTAGCATTAACATGAAACAGATTCTGGTGGGCAAGCAAATAGTGATTGTGAGTAAATTTAATATGTCTCATGGTTATGAAAATTATTATAGTGAGTACACTAATAATTTTAGTTTGCAATTTATTAGAAAAAGCTTGGTTTACTCTTGTCAATTTTTTTTTCTACAAACATATTTATAAACTGCTAAATACTGCTGCTTAAAATATGGATTCATATTGTCTCAAATAAAAACTGCCTCTCAATTAAAAAATTTTGTATTGAAATAGAAATGAAAGACTTGCTTGAGTGAGATAATTAGGGGACAGAGATGTTTTAATTTGCCATAGAAATACACAGGTGTTTTGTTTCCCTAATGAGCAATGAAGGGCAATGAAGAGGGTTATGTCTCCAAAGTCAGTAGCAAGCCCAGCCAAGGAAAGAAAAACCTGAAGACAATATCAACAAAACATGAGAACACTCAAATTTAACATCTTGTCCAATTTTCCTAAAGAATATCCTTGTGATAAAGTACATCACAGAGAACAAACACATAACAATGAACAATAAAAAAAAAGAAATTTTTGTTTTTAACTGTTGCTTTAGTTATAAAAAAGAAAGCTTTTCATTTTCATAAAATACCAATACAAAAACAAAACAGCTAAAAGTGTATAAGGGAAAAAATGGAATTAAGACTTCTTATGTAAATCTATTTAAATGAAAAAAAATTAAAAAATTTTGTTTACAGTGAAATGATATGTTCACTGGCAATGTATAAAATATTTCATTAAAAATCATCCAGATCACATGTGCATGGTTTCTTTCCAGTGACATGTTTTTTGTTCTCTTAAAATTTCAAAACTCTTGTTATTTTAAAACAGCTCTCAACTCTGTAAAAAAAGGTTGTCAAATTCTAATGTAGATAAAGAATTAAATAACAAAAAAGTAAGTCTGACTTACCCAAATTGAGGAAGCCCTCCCCTATTAAGTAACACAAGAACCATTCATGCATTGGCAATAACATGTTTCTTTCCATTTGTAAAAAAAATATCTCCAAATTTTGTAAAGAAAAGAATTGCAGGACATACAGAACAAACTTTATATGAGAATGAAACACGGCTGCCAAAATGATGAGAAATTTTACCAGGACCCAGAAGTGAAAGGGGGTAGAAATGAACTCACCCATGTCTGCGACCTTTCCTATTTCATACATGATATCAGTTGAAACATTTCACTGTGAATACTAGACTTTAGCCTCAACCCACTAACCATCAATTTGTAAGCCATTTAATAGCAACTGCAAATTTACTGCACAACATGGAAACACTAGATGATGCCTCTAATCATAAGCTTATTAGAATTCTTGCATCTCAATTTTAGTTTCATGTGTGTGTATCTATATATGTAATCTAAGTATATTTTAAAAATTTTTTTAGCTTCATTCTTTTTAAATATTTGTTTCCTATTTCCCCGTATATGATACTAGGGTACAAACAATGATTACTAAAATGTTAATCTTATATGTCAATTATTTTTGGGGTTTTGAGATATCCAATATCCTTTTTTTCCATCTCTATTTTACATCAAAAATGCATTCCAACTAAAGCAGAGCGAATTTTTGAAATTGCAGTGAGTGTTACTATTTTGAGTACAAATGTGCAATGAACAAAACAACACAGAATTGCAAGAAGGTAGATGGCTTCAAGCCTAAACAGCTGAGTGTTGGACAATGCCTGATATTAGATCTAGGTTGTAGACAATGACTTATTCTTTAAAAAATTCAATTAAGAAAATATATTTTAGTCATAAAGATAATATTTAAATTATTATAAATAGGCTTATTCATAAAGATTTTCCATTTTACCATTTGTATTAGTTTTATTATATGTAATACAGGATTTTTTAATTATTTTTTTTCATGCAAAGGCTTTATTTCCAACTATCTTCTTACATTATTAGGCAGACACTGGTTAACTTAGATAGTATTATTAATATCATTACACCATGGGTGTAAGAGCAAAAAATCACTTATGTATAGGATGATTTTATCAATATCAATTATTTGATAGAGTTATGTTCTTACAAGGTCTGAATTGGAAATAAACTCAGTGGAAGAACTAATATAATTATAAAATAATACCTTTAGTTAAATTTGTGTTTACTTAAGTGAACATGAATATGAAGTGATGCACATGGTGAGAATGAAGCAGTAATATCTGTCCAAGGAACATATTTTATTAGGCCTGCTCTGATGTTTAAAGGACTCACACTTATCAGGCCAGCTGAGGAAGAAGCTCACTTATTGTCACCACAATATCAGGATGATGATGGTGATTATAATAAATCTCTCGAAGTGTCAGTTAGTAAATGGAGGGTAAAAACAGGTGCAAACTGTCAAAACTATTTGGTAATTAACATACCTGGTGTCCCATTGCTGTTGAGGAGTTACTGGAGGTGGGTGAGGATCCCCAAATGGTGGTGGAAAAGTTGGCGGGAAGGCTCCTCCGTAGGTGCCAGGTCCTGGAGTGGGCAAGGTAGGAGGATGGTAGTAAGCTGGAAAAATAAAAACTTTATCAAGTGATTTGTGAGCTGGTCATGTTAAAAATTATTTCTTTTTTAAAAAAAAATCAAAGTAATGAATAATCTTCTGTTTTTAACTTCAGGTTTTAGAATTAAAATAAATCGAAAACAGTTTAAATAAAATACATGTTTTAAAAGAACACACTACTTACTATCAAAAGTAGGGGGAGGAGCTCCAAATGGTGGAATAGCCATTCCTGAGGGAAATAAATAATTCACAGTAATTATAGCAGATATTGATATACTTTCAAGAAGTTAAATTCCCAATGAAAGTTACTGTATCATATACAATAATATCACTTATACACTAAAATCAGAAGGAAGTAAAATGTCCCTTGTCTTCAAAATGTTTGTTTATTGGATGAGACACATAATTAAAAGATCTTCTGGAATTACTCTGGCAAATGTAAACATAACATAACTAACTGCTAAGATTACAGCCATTTAACTAACTATTTTGTAATGTGTATTAATCCCAACTGAAGTAAAATGCAATTTTTGACCTAGTCAGCTTCTAGAAGAGTTTTCTTTTCTCAGTATCTCCTACTCCACAAGAACAGCTGTCTTATTGGGGCAATGAGTCTATTTGACAGACTATTTTACCTCTGACTAATTGGAACCCACTACCTCTTGTTTGCTAGGCTACCTACGTTACCAATGCGCCACAGTTATCTTATATAACAAATAAGTGATAGTGATCCCTTGATCACTGAACACAGCTATAAAGATAAATTAACATCTCTTACCAGGTGGAGGGATGTTAGTGTTGGGGAGGGATGGCGGTGGCTGGTTGAAATTCATGGGAATACTTCTGTTACTGTGACATGGAAAAAAAAATAATAATAAATAAAATAATAGATGCATATGAAAAACACACACTACATGGTAGAAGTGTGTCTTATTTATCAAGACACAAAAAAATAATAATTCAGCCTCATTTTTACACCACCCAACCTGCTGCTTCAAAATTGTTTCACCACAACCACCTAGCCGCCCACAGACCAAAGTAATACAGCTGATACAGCAGGTATGGAACTTACTAGTTTCCTGCGACTGGGATGGGTTGTTCGTGACTCATATCATCCTTTCTCCTGCTGGTGCTGCCACCAATGACACCGATGGTGATGATGTTGTTATTGCCACTGCTGTTATTTGTATTGATGGTGTTGATGGATGAAGTTTGAGACACAGGGGAGGGAATTACTTTATCTGGGGGAAATAAATTATCACATCAGGTTTACAAACATCAGAAATGGTAACTTACTTTTCTAGTGGTAAATTCTATTTATCCTTCAAAAAGGCCGGATTGGCTTAGGCAGCAGTCGTGAGAGATCTCTAACAAAAACCATAGATTTATCTACATGGACAAATATAATTAAAATCTGTGATAGTTTTTAAAGATATATCTACATAGTCCAGGATGTATTGCAGTCTTACAATGATAAATTAAGGATGTGCACCAGAGCAATTAAAGACTTACCTACATGAGAGATTGGAATTATTGTGTTTGTCTGAGAATGGATAAAAATTAGAAGGTATAATAGTTGCACATCAGTATATTAAATAACAAAGGGACGCCTAGACAATAAATGAGATGCAGACAAAAAAACTTCTTTTGACAAATTAGATCAGGGTCCAGGTACAAAAAAAATGTCACATGTATGGAAAGAATTTTAATGTAAGCTATGGGAAAGAACATAACTATCAGAGGCATACAGAAAAAAAGTTCTATATCACAGCTCAAGTTGGTATGGTACATACATATCAAAGCAATCAAAAAAGAGAAAGAATATATATTCTAATCAAACAAACAAAAATCAGTGAGAAAAATAAGTTAGATAATTGCTATCAGTAACACTGGCTTACATATCTAGGTAATGATGGAAGAACAGATATTCCTCCTGTTGCCTCTGCTCGGAGGATCTTCTGTTTTTCACAGTATGCCTTCCATGTCTCCTCAGTGAAGCCATAGTTAAAATAATCCGTAATGTCAGCACCTAGTCATGGGTACAATAGTTTAGTTTTTATTTGCGCAAGAATCAAACACTGCATTTTCAAGTTACATTTTTAAATGTCCCATGTTCATGACAGGGAATTTTCAATATATCCATACAGCATTTTTTTTAATAAGTATGTATTTATTCAATGTCCATTTTAACTAAAAGCTCTTATGTACGAAAGCACTGACATGATTTAATGTTCTAATATATATACTTTTATAAAGTGCCATTATCCTCTTTATTTAAGTTGCCAAAGGAAGTTAAAAATATTTAAAGTAGCATCCACCAATGTCACAGTCTCCCATTCAAGCTGTAGTAATGCTCTAACACACAAATGAAAGACAGATTAAAAGCTCTATTAAAGTTGAATATTGAAGGCTTAGGAAACAACCAGCTCACCAGGTTTTCTCCATGGCATGTCCTCAGTGCTAAGTGTATTCAGATCAAAGTCATAGACTGGTGTCCCATTGATGGTTCCCACTGCTTCAATATCAAGGCCCTTAGCTGCTGGGGTAGGCTTAGTTGGGACAGCTGACATGAAGAAGAAAAACACTTTGATACAATAATTCATCTAAGAGAACAATATTTCTCATTGTCCATTTTTTTTTCTTCACATAATTTAACAATAAAACTTTGGTAGATAGCAAAGTCTGTGCCTAATAAACAACGTACCTTCAATCAAGCTTCTAAACAGAAATTACAAGATACGGTATTGCTTCAACAATTAAAGAAGGGTGAAAATAAACATTTAAAATTATTTAAATCAGCATCCTTACCTGTTCCAGCTTTCTGATAGTTTTGGCCACTTTTAAATAAATTTCTGGGTGCAGAGCTGTGAAAAAGACCAATGAAATAATGTGACATGACATATAGCAGATAATTCACCTTCCCATGCAATAACAAAACAAAACCATGGTTTGACAGACTTTGAATCACTGAGAAGAACTTACTCTGTGCCAGTCCATGTTCTGATGTCTCCAATTGTGACCTGTACATTATCATCATCATCATCATCGTCGTCGTCATCTTCCTCACCATTGGGCACATTATCGCCACCTCCAGCACTGTCTACTGTTTCTTTAACAGGACGTTCAGTATCCTCTCCACTTTCCTGTGGTTAAGAGGGTAAAAACTAGTTATTAGATTAAACAAGCTGTGATTTTTACTAATCAATGATAAAACCTACAACCTTTGTATCCTATTTCAGCCTGGTGCTATATAAACCAATACCATTTGTATCTTTTTCAGCCAGGTGATATAAATTTAAATAAAGTCCAATTCCAATCCATAAATTTAAAAAACAGGCACTAACCAATTCTCCAGCTTCTTTGTCAAAGTCTTTCTTTATTGCCTGTATGCTGTAGAGAATAAGTGCTTGAAGGTGACCGATCTTACAACAAAAGTAACTTAAATTTTAAATTGACATTCAGAGAAAAGGTTGTGCCACAGATTATGTATGTTATATGATTTATCTGAATTTAAATAAATAGAGCTTTTAGAGACAGATGAATTTAAAAGGCTAGATCAAGTAAATACCACCAAATATAGTGCAATGTTTATTGATAATTCTGACTTTATTCAAAAGTAATGTATTTTAAGCTAGCAGAGAATGTTAGATTATTCTACTATGAAGGTATAGCTAAAAATATTGTACTTTCACTTTAAGAAATATAAATAAAATCACAACAATAGTTACCTTTTCTCAAGTTCTCCAACATTTGGCTTTTTCTCTTTTTCATCTAGGGAAATTTTGAAATTTTTACTAAATAATTGTCTAAGTATAATTAATTTTTGCATTGTTTTCAGCATAAATTGAGTTTAAAGCTTAGGTAACTTCGGATACGATTCTTGAAATCAATTTTACTTTACTAACTAACATACATATTCTGGTGAAGGTCTGAGATTACTCTCTTATGACCCCGGCTAGTAAATTGGCTACCAGCTCCATCTGGTGAGCTGAGCCATTCAACATTTTCCTCACAAAGGGTTTTCCAACCGCCCTGGCTTCCCCCGGGACCAGGGGGCAATGCCAGCAGATAGGATCCCTGTTGTTGCCCAGCCAACAGAAGTATGTGCCTATGGGACAATGCGCATTTGCGTCACTAAGCTCTGCTGTCTATGGCCTAACCCCCACAATGGGGTCTTGTTTGCTAGGAGTGGGAAATTTGAAAAGACGCCTCTGGCGGTCGTATTGTCTGCCCATTGCCTGTACCACTTCATCCTGAAATGGTCTGCCAGACAGCTCTTTATTCCCAAATAAGTTATGGGTACTTCTGGCTGAGGCTGGGCAGCCCTGATTTTTGCAAGAGTGTCCGCTTTCTCATTTCCACTGACATCGACGTGACCTGGGATCCATTGCACTGTCACCTTGCCTCCTATTTCACCGATTTTGCACACGTGTCAACTAGGTGAGTGGTACCTGAACTCTTTCCCAAGATATCAAGAGCAGATCTTGAGTCTGAGTACACGTTCCCATCGAGCCCCGTAAGCTCCATCCCTTTCAACATGTGATACACTCTCTCCAAGGCCCTGTGTATAGCCTCAAGCTCTGCATCAAAGTTTGATGCTGCAGTCCCACAGGGCCCTGAGAGTTCTTGATTAGGTGGTCCCCCTACTGGGTACAGCATGAGAGCACCATACCCAGCAGATCTTTCTCTCAGGTTGGCAGAGCCATCCATGAACACTTTCACTGGTATGTTGGTCTCAAGGGCAGTTGCTTTCTGAACAAGTTCAGGGCTGCGCTTCGTCACTGCTGCATCGATCAAGGCCAAATGTATGGAGGGATGTGAGGGTTCCGTGTATGGCGGATTGACTGGGATTAGGGTCAGACATTCTCTATTGTGAGGCAGGTCGACTGTACTCTCAAGCTCCACGACTTGGTGCATGAATGAGGATCTCTTTAGTCGCCTGCCTGCCACCCAGCTATTCTGTATCCGTAACGACGGTTCTTTCTCGTTCAGCCGTCGGTACCTCTCTACAGTACTTATTATTGCTTTTTCTCTCCTTATATCTAACGGTTCTACATTGGCCAAGACCTCTACAGAAGCTGTGGGTGTGTTCCTGAAAATGCGCCTCAGATGAATTTCAGAGCCTGATTCTGGATTCTGCCCAACTTTTCCAATGCAGTCTTGCTTGTAAAGCATTGGACTGGCATACTGCAATCTATCACCGACCCTTCACTGACTAGAAATAGAGCTCTAAGCCTTCTTGCGCCCGCGCCCACTTGTGCAAGCCAATTTTTCACCTGATTGAGCTTGGCGGTTGCCTAGGAGCTCGATCTCCTGTTTACTTAACTAATGCTGTTCATTGCAACAAATTCATCAAACAGACTAAAATTAAATGACGATAAGTCTGAGGCAATTATTTGTGGTTCGGACGCCAATCTTCGGAAGGTTTCCAATCACATCAATAAAAGTTGGTTAATCTGAGATCCCGTTGTCCTCCACTGTCAGAGACCTTGGCTTTTTTATTGACAGTAAACTTAGCATGATTCCCCATATCAGCTCTGTTGTCAGGGCATGCTTCTGTCATCTGCGCGCCCTGGGTCAGCTGCGTCCTCAACTCAATAAGAGAACATCCAATGCCGTGGCAGTAACTCTCATCCAGTCAAGATTAGATTACTGTAACAGTTGTTTGTGGGGTTTACCTCAAAACCAAATTCAGAGACTCCAAAAGTTACAGAGTACTGCAGCACATATTGTATCGCAAATAAAGAAATCTGACCACATCACACCAGTTCTTAGAGATCTCCATTGGCTTCCTGTAAGTGAGCGCATTGACTAAAAATTCTGTCCACAGCGTACAGCTGTATAGATGGCTCAGCACCGGAATACCTTAAATTGATTTCTAAACACGTATCCTTAAAGAACCTACGGTCTTCAACACAGTCCTTACTGAGAGTTCCCAGTGTGGATGGACACAGAAAAAAATCTTACGGAGTGCGCTCTTTTGAAGCGATAGCACCAAAATTATGGAACAGTTTGCCCAAATCCATGAGGGACATTGACAATGATAAAAAATCTTTTAAGAAACATTAAAAGACATTTTTGTTTAAATAGATTTAAGAACATCAGAGCGCTGTGAGCATGCTATAGTAGCATGGATACAAGCACCATATAAATATTCAATTCAATTCAAATAAGTGACACAGATAGCGTAAATTTACCAAATTCATCAAATGAGGTATTATTTTGCCATGTCAATTCTGGCTGCACACTGACGCTGCACAAGGAATAGAATCGGGTAATCTTGCAGTTCAGGTACATATATTATTCCTGATTTAACCTTGTATTATTGCATGTAAACTTACTTGTATTCTTCATTAAATTAAATCCAGGTAGTAATAGTTAACTAATACTGAATTATACAGCGCTATTTTTTGTTTTATTTTATTTCTAAAGCATCCCCAACTATCCATAGCTCCATTTGTTTTGTTGCTTTTTTCACCCTGTTGCCACATTTTTGATCACCTATAATTTTGTGTACTAAACAAAATTTTCAAATTGTAGGCATGTTCACAAAAAGAATGAAATTGGGGGGGTGGGGGTGAACATCTTTAAAAGCCCTTTAGCTAACATCTAAATTATGGGACCCGTAAAAAAAACAGGGAAATGTCAAATTGCAATCTGGCATGTAGGGTGAAATAAAAAAAAAAAGAAAATGGAGAGATCGTTTACACTACCGGCTATGTAGCTATGTACCAATGGGGGCTGTAAATATCAATAAAAAGAAAAGTTAGTGCTGTACAATTTAGTGTTAGTGTTAATACGAAGTGTCTACATGTCCGGCGCGCCAGACAAATAGTGCGGGATATATACTGCCTGTGGGGATGTCACGTGACCGCCGGACGATTGTTAGGCATTATTTTTCCGGCAGGTCATGTGACAAGTGGTCGCCGACAAAATAGTTGCATTGCATTTGATATTCCGATTCCTAGATAATAAATAAATGCTGAACATGTTAATATATTCAAATGCTCTGAGATACATAAAGTGTTTGACTTTGAATATTAAACTAGTAGGCCTTTATACTAACTAGTAGTACTCTTACTACTACTATTACAAGTCTATTTGATTACCACTCTTCAAAGTCAAAGAAAAAAGTCCTTAATCTTGGTTAATACATCTTGTAAAGCTCTACCTTGAAGCCTAAATTTAAAAAAAAGAATTTTAAAGAAAAAAGTCCTTAATCTTGGTTAATACATCTTGTAAAGCTCTACCTTGAAGCCTAAACTTAAAATATGAACCAAATAAAATAAAACCAGTAGACTTCAATACTCCTATGTCAATAAAGTTGTATTTCAGGATTAGTATTGCATGAGAAGTAGGCTAGGCTACCACTATATCAGCCCTATTTTAAGATGTAGGGTCTATTCCTTTGTAAACTATCGGCCTCCCGCCTTAAACTTTATTATTTATCACCCTCACTATTATTTTTTTAGCATTCGTATTTTCTATTACCGTAATTCTCTCCCTCACAGCATTGCTTCCTTCTAGAATGCATCATTACTTAACCCCCATTTTGTTTTGGTAAAAGTATTTTTTTCTAATATTTGTTTGCAAGATACTCAGTACATTACTTGGTAGAGAAATAGATTTTAAGATTAACAATAGTTTTGAATCATTCGCGGTCACATTACAAGGCTGACGGACAAATATCTCTCGCCACTTTGTTACAGTGGTCATGTGACTTGGTCGCCAGACGAAGATCTCGATAAAGTATTCTTCCGGCGGTCATGTGACTTGGTCGCAGGACAAATAGTGCAGGAGATATACGTCCGACGTGTAGACATTGCCTAACTAATAATGTCTGGACTAATTTTTATAAAGAATACACATAAGTTTACATGCAATAATACAAAATTCAATCAGAAATAATATACGCACCTAAACTGCAAGATTACCTAGAATCGACTATCTAGGCTAAATTTAAATCGAACTTGACTTGAAACACTGTTCAGTAAAATTTCATGTTTAATAATATATATTATGGTAAATTCAGAGAAAGCGGCCCGCGTTTATTTCCATGCGCGCACTTTTTAAGTCTTAAATCGATCCCTATGCCTAACCCGAACCTTAAATCGATCCCTAATTATTATTTATGGATTCATTCAGTTTTTTTTTCTATTGTATATAGTACTGGGCCTAGGCCTAACTATTTTTAAAATAGGCCCAATTGCTATAACTAATTCAAATAGACAAGCTTATATTTTTAACTCCAATACCAATATATATTAATATCGATATTTTTTTTATTCTCGGCATTTTCGCGTTATCTGACTGAGTTACTGACTGAGTAGATACTTCGATGAAACAAGGGAGACTACTATTTTTTTTGTATCGGAAATGGCTGTCGGCGCCGAAAAATGCGAGTTTTTAATTTTCCGATGTGTGTGTCTATTTATTATTAAATTAGTTCTTTCCACATATATTTGAGTTCCGTTTCCGGCCTTATAATTTGGAAGACATCTTGGCCTACATTTCTAGCCAGCTATTTTGCTTTTTTCAATCGACCTTTATTTTGAAAATCTTTGGTATATATAAGGCATCTTCGCATACAAAATTTTTTGTGAAATAATTAGATAAGGTCCTTTTTGATTAAATCTGTATGAGCATTAGATATTGATCTATATTTGTGCCAAGTTTCATTGATGTAGGTCATGTCTCACGTTTGTTACACTTGTCACAGTGACCCATATCACCATAAGGTGGCTCAGCCTAATTTCGACATGGCGTGGGCCACGCCCCCTTTTTAATGGCGGAAGTTGCCGATACTTAGGAAATATTTAATTATTACCACTATATACATCAAAATATTTTATATTTTGTGTTTCAGAATGCATTTTGAAGACATTTAAACTGGAAATGTTTTAATTTGAGCTTTAAAAACCCTGCAGAGTCCATATTATAAATGATCAGAATTTTCCCTGTGCAACACGTTGTCATTGGCAACCATTCACAGCCACTTGCATAACGGCTACGTCGTAGTACTATCTCAGAGTTTCATTCATAAGAGTTTGCCGTGTGCAAAAGCTATTAAACCATTGGTCAGGGAAAGCTTTTATTAATTATTCATGTGCCAAAGTTGAAAGTTTAAAATAAGTCGACCCTAAACAGTATTTTAGTGATAGGGAATGCGTTGCCTTATATAAACTATATAGTCATTGCGCATGACGCGATCAGTGGAATGAGGTCACAGAATGTGGAGATGAAGTCCATGTTAAAAAATGACAAACCAAGTCGTACTTTAAAAATTCATAACTTTAAAACTACAACAGCTAAAAATATGATTTTGGTGTTATAATTATGTTTAAAATTAGCTCTATTCAACTGTGCCATTGGTTTATTTTTAAAAAATGTTTACATTTTTGACAAAAGTATCTACTGACTGAGTTATCATTATCATTTGGAAGACATAATTTTAATTAAGTATTATGGTTGATTTTAATAATTTTTAATTTAAAAAAAACAGAACAAATCAAATTTTGTTTTTTCAAAATAACAAATTAAAATATATCACGTTTCCTTACCGCCGTATAACCAATCTTCGTCGTCTTCGGGGACTGTCGCAACTATATCGGCCGCGGCCATTTTCACGTTGTTGTCTTCCCCTGTTTCATGTTAGTTTCGAAAATACATCGTACAAAATTTAAAAAAGTACAAATGTACTAAACTTAATTATCTCATGATGATAAATAATAAGTTTTAAAATTACTAATTCTATTTTGAAATAGTTAAAAATTATATTCGAAATCTGAAAAGTAGCTCTGGTGGCAAAGTATGTTTACCCATAACAACAAAATGGTGGTTAGTTTTTATTAAATTTAGACCTCTTTGTTTTTTTAAAAATCTAAGTAAGGAGAGAATGAAAAGGGAATTACAAAATTACTAGTCTGGTGTTCTTTTAAGTCTTTAAAATAAGCAGTAAGTTATATATACTATAACTTAATTAGTTTAAGTTAAAAGACTCACGTGACTAAGTTTACCACTCGGCCTAATTCTAATAGGGTAATCCCTTCCTTATTTTACAATAAATTATAAATGCATGTTATAGTAGCCACTGAAGTGTTTTAATGTAGTTCCATGAGGTAAAAATTAATTTTTGATTTTATTTCTGTAGAAATAATAAAAAGCTCTAAAATAAGGGATTACCCCCCCTAATTCTTCTTCTGTATCTTAAGGGCCCACGATCAATTTATTGATCATTTTGATTTTTGCTCCTATGCATGTAGATGGGATTTGCAATGCTTCTGTTCCTGGTGTTGATGAGGAAATGATTTCCAGTGCCACTTTGTGAGGGAATCATGCACTAGGGGTTTGAAGGCTTGAGGCAATAGACACAAATGTGTCTAATGTTGTCGCCTCAACCGTTCCTTTTGAAAGATTGTTCCAGTCCCTGATTGTCTTGGGCAGGAATGAGCAGCTCCTATACTGGCTTCTTGCTGGTATGAGCCTGAAATGCCTGTCATGGCCTCGTCGCTGTCTATGGGGGAGAGGAACGAGTTTCTGTTTAATACTGGAACAGTGGACCAGCCCATTATTTATCTCGTACATCATGGAGAGCCTGGATTGTCGTCCTCGTTCCTCCAATGGTGACCAGCCTAGTGTTTCCAGCATGCTGCCAACACTAGAGGTATTCCTGTAGCGATTTAGGACAAAGCGAGCTGCTCGTCGCTGGACCGCCTCCAACCTGTCAACGCTCTTCTGGGTAAATGGGTCCCAGACTGAAGATGCATAATCTAAAACCGGACGGACAAAGGCTTTATATGCTCTTTCTTTCACATAGGAGTTGCCAATCTTTAGATTTCGCCTTAAGAACCCTAGGGTCTTGTTTGCGTGGTTACATACATTGTTAATATGCTCGTCCCAGCGGACCTCTCTTTGAATGGTAACACCCAGGTACTTTACGGAGGAAACTGGCTCAAGTATATGGCCATGCAGTTCGTATTGGTAGTGTAGAGTAGAGGAGTACAAATTCTAGAGACTGATAGTCTCTGGCACTTGGCAGGGTGAAATTCCATGTACCAGCTCATCTCCCACTCAGCTAACAGATTGAGATCCTGTTGTAGCTGGTCCTGGTCAGATCTGTTGGCGATCATCCTATACACCGCTGTGTCATCTGCGAACAGTCTTGCTTGTGATGTCAGTTTCTCGGGTAAGTCATTAATGTATGCTAGGAACAAACAGGGGCCCAGCACTGATCCCTGGTGGGATCCCTGACTTCACATCAACAAAGGAGGTGCTTGTACTGTCCACCACTACTGCCTGGCATCGGTGGCTGAGGAAGCTAGAGATCCATGTTTTAGTGGTGCCTTGGATGCCATATCTCTGGAGTTTGTGTAGAATTAACAGTACTAATACCAATAATACTTATTTATTAATACAAAAAGACTAATTCTAATTAATAATCAATTAATTCAATTACTAGCGGCTAGCCTAACCAATATATTATATATTAAATTATATTATACATTATATTAATATTAGCCATCATCCGCAATGGTCTAACTATCTAAATTCTCAAGTGCGAAAGTTCGCTGACGACTGTCTTATATACAGAGAGATAAACAGCACCAATGACCACAACCACCTCCAACCAGATTTGAAGTGCCTTATGAATTGGGTGGACAAATGGGGCATGAAATTTAATGAAACCAAATGCTACACTATGACAATCTCAAGAAAAAAAACATCAACTCATCTTTACTCACTAAACGAGACAATCCTCCAACAAGCATCCAATAGTCCATATCTTGGAATTCTCTTCTCAAATAACCTAAAATGGTCACCCCATATAAACAAAATTTTTTAAAAAGCCAACTCCACCCCTAGGTTTCATCCGAAGAAATCTGCGCCACTGCCCAACTTCCTGCAAAAGAAATGCCTATCTTGCACTCGTCCGTCCACTACTGGAATATGGTGCGATCATCTGGGACCCACACCCTTAAGCAAGACGTGGACACGATGGAGCGAATTTTTTTTTTTTAAAGTTAATTAAAACATCAACCTATTTGTTTTTTAGTTTTTACATTTACAGTGGATGCCTGCCCTAAGTGACAAAGAAACTTTAAAGATTTTTTATTTCAATATTCTGCAGGGTACTTTTAACTACTATTAGAGCAGCAGTCATTGTTCTAACTCATGTTAACAACATGGGTAAATAATTTAATATATGCAGCTATGGGCAGTCAGATGTCAACAATAAAAGACATTCTCAGTCAACAGTCCTCATCAGACTGGTGTTACCCATTAACACCTTACATCCCTTTTCCTAAGGAAAAGTGGCCTGTATTTGAAAATGGGTTGATATCAGACATACACATACTCCCGGATAAACTACGTAAGTTCAAATGCAACATACTCTTGAATACATATTGATGCACATTTATAATGTTTACTACTTATAATTACAAAGGATTATAAATATACCATTAGGGAAATTTAAAGTCAAAATTATGAACTTCTCTATAAATTAGACTGCCAACATTTTAGGCCTACTCCATCTTAGATTATTTTTGTTGGACAAATTTTGACAACAATTATCATAAGATCAGGAATTTTAATGTAGCATATTCACAGAATTACTATTAAAAAAATGTTTGCAACGCAAGAGTTTTTAGCTCTCATATTTATAGTACAGTTTTGTATTATTTACTATATTACTATATTGTAACTAAAGCTATGCACTGTTTGCATCAAATGTGACAATATAAATTTTAATATGAAGCTAAAAAGAATATAAAACTTTTGGGAGCTTCCAGATTATCTCCTGATGCTGTAGATTCATTACTAAGTATGCATTGTTAGAAGGGCACTTATGCAAGAAAGACAAGAATTATTCAGTTGCTAATTGTTTTGTTCTCTATTACAACTGCAAGGGGAAACAAAATATATAAATCAACATTTATTTCTAAAAATGACTTATTTCTAACAAAAGATTTTGACGATAAACTTTTATTTTAACTCATAAAAAAACTAGATCATCTACATTTTCCACTGGTCCACAGTTTTATTTCAATTGGCTTATCTATTTTTCATAGAGCGTAACCTGACAAATGATAGCTGGTACTGGTGGTGTGATGCACAGTTTGTTCCATTTAATGATGTAAGCCTTTACACTACATGTTCTGTATACCATCCCCGGCCGGGATGTCGCTGGACTTCAGTGCCTCACATGCCAAGTGGAAGAGTAGTTTTATACAACTTTTTATCTCCCAATAGTCTGAGTAGGTTTTAAAACATTTAATTTCATTTGTACTGACAGACCTCTTTTTATTTAGGGGGATAACACATATATTTGGCCATTGATTTTTTTGTGATTATGAACACAATTTGATTGATCAATTTGAAACATAATATTCAATTTTATCATTTTAAGCTTTTTTCTTTCTTTTTTATTCATTGTAATAATTATTGCTTCAACATGAAAAAAGAGTTTCCATTACTGTGTGACAAGCTATTAATTCAATGCACAATTCATATTTGCATTTAAGGAAACCAATCCCATTCTTCAAAAAATAATTCTGAGATTGTTATATTTATAGAAATTCTGATGCTCAAGGTAATTAACTGAATTCTGAGAAAACAATGTACAAATGTAAAAAGTGGGATACAAGTTTTTAATCCTCTTGGCAACATTTAACATGTATTGAAACAGTTGGTTTGTTTGACTTTGATAATTGGCATGAATCAAAGTTTTTAAATATAATTAAGTTATGCAGTTAAAAAAATTAATTTAGATATCTTTGGAAACAGTGGCAGTCAGTATTTTATATGTGGCCAACAGCCGCATATCTTTCTACTATAGTAAAAAGATTTCTTACTTTTTTCTTTAAATTTTTAAAGTCATCAGGGATAAAATGTATTAAATATTATGTTAATTTCAAGGAAAACAAATGCATTAGCTTCATTGAAGGAGTTAATAAAACCTATTTGTTTGTGTTTATAAATTAAAAAGGCACAAAAACCTCTACTCGTTGAGTTAAAAAAAAATAAGTTGGTTAAAATCCTCATTTACTGCATAATAAATTTGCTTTCCATTAATTTATCTTAAAGTTGTTAGTGTACTTTTTTTCTAAGCTTATCAAATAGTGACAAATGTTCCTGAATTTATATTCATTGAAGTAAAACAATAAAAAAATTCTTCCCCAGAATGCATCATTTTCAGCCGCACAAACAGCTCTGTATGGCCAAAGGTTAACCCACACCCTATTGGACAGCTTGTCGCTTACTGTGGCACAGGTGAAACTGTAATCATGTCTGACAAAGGTGACCCTGTTTATTCCAGGAGTAGGGATCTCACAAATGCAGTCCACATTTACTGTGCTACTGCCAATAATGGTGTTAGCTTTGCCTGCATCAAGAGAGGAATCGGGGTATTCTTTCTGGAGTATCACAATATTGATACTTCCATTTTGGTTCATGATTCTATCCGATGTCATCAAATTTGTCAAGATTTCGTCCCGTCTAAAATAGGCAATGACAGCGTGGCTTGTAAATTTTCTCCCAATTCAAAACAGTTGTCAGTGAGCATTTCTACCGGTGTGTTATTTGTGGTGACCCGAAGCAAACTGGAAAAGGTGTGTATAATATGCCCCGACATGCTAGATGGATCATTATCATCAGCAGAATCATTTGATTATGATCCAAGATTTGCCTCTAAAGTCTTGACTGTGGCTACCACAGACGGTTTCATTCAGACAGTTGATATCGAGACAGGGACAATATTAAGGTCAGTAGAAGCCGAAGACGCATGCGACTGTCTTACTTACAGCCCAGATGGTCTTTTCATTGCTGCAGGTTTCCATGATTTTGATATTGTCATATATGACAGAGATCTGACAACCCTCCATACATTTCCAATGTCCACGATATGTCAGGACCAACTCCAGCGAGTACAGCCGCACTACCCAACAGTTCTGCATCTCAGCTTCTCACAAAATGGTGAGCATTTGGCCAGCACATCTTGTGATGGGCACCTCCGGATATGGAGAATCCCCAAAATTTTAACATTGCAGGAAATGTGTAGAGACAAAATTCTTGCTTGTCTTCCTGTTCGCAAGGTTAAATATTTGAATGGCATTCCTGAAAAGATGAAAAACTTTTTACTATACAAATATATTTAGCAAATTTTGTTTGCATTCACAGAATGTCACAATTTATGCAATTCAAATAAAAGAATAAAGAATTAGCTTTGTATCTAATTTTTAAAATACCGGTACTTGTTTGTAATGGTAAAGGATTAATATTTATTGGAAAATTGTGTGTAGTTTATTTACCAGCAAAACATAAGTTTGATCATTGGAAATGTATTGGGATTTGTTTCTGTTCTTACATTTTGGAGACTTTGTCTCAGTGACTGTAACCTAGTCTCAACTTCCTTCAAGACTGTTTCTCTTAGGTTTTGAAATTCCTTATTTGAGGACTTCATGGTGATGGTGAAGTCATCAGGAAGGATAGAGTGTAACAACTGTATCATGTTTAGTGTCTCATAATCTGACCTGTGCAGTGCAGGAAACAAAACAAAAAAAAACAATTTTTTTTATGACTGAACTTTTTGTAATTGTAAAGAGGAGAAAAAATTACTTTGAAACATTTATATTGAAGCACACACTGTTTCAATGGAAGGGCCTAATGTCTATTATTCTATATGGCAATTTTAGCTAATGGAGGGCTTACTCAGAAAACCCTGATTAATTTTGGATTATGCTTATACATTTCATGAGTCATTATTCCACAATAATTATAAACTAAGTAATTAAAAGAATGACTGGAACATCCAATGCAACCTTCAAAAAGCAACTAATAAAAGGTTATAAAATAATCTGAACAATTTTTGGGTTTGACAGAGTTTATTCTTGTTTTAGATTGTCCATAATTAAATTCAGAGTTCATTAACATAATTTAAAGGCTGTGAAGTAAAACATTATATGACTTTGACTCTTAGCATGCATTAACTGATCTTACGTAAGATATTTGACTTTTTGGGACCATGTGAACATAAGTCCCTCTTCTATTAAAAAAAAAAAAGTTGTAATTTAAGGCAACACTAACTTGGTATATGTGACTATATCAACCATGTGATTGCTTGTTTGCTCCAAAACTTGGACTCTACAAAACTTCAGCTGATGGTTTCCAGTAAAAATGTATTGTCCAACCTTTTGCAAACACAGGAATGCCTGGTGTTTTTCTAGACATTTTACAAATTGCCTTGCTGAGCTGAATAAACTTGTGACTTGGAGACAAGTGCCAATCTGGATGCAGTCAAGAGCTTGCAGATCTTCATTGGATATTTTTTTCTCTTTAGGAAAACAAAGATTTTTATTATAGAAAATACTATATTCAAAATGTAACAGACTATCAATAGATAATTTGTCATGTTAGAAGACAGAAAAAATTACGAGGTTAAAGCTTACAATAATATGTAATAATTAAATATATCTTAATATTGCATTTCTGCCTGCTGAACTTTTAACAGTTGCATTTAAATGTCTCTTTTATTAGTTGTTCATTTGACAACAATAAATTGTTTTAAAAAACAGATTACGATAATGGCTGCTTATATTTTAATGCAGGGGAAAATCTTCAGTGAGTGTCCTGATGAAACTATTTAAAATTGCTTTTTTTTTTTAGACATTTTTAAATATACGGATATGATTATCTCTGCAAGTACCGGTAGGAGGTTTGAGACATCAAGTAAAATAAACAAGATATACATCTTCAAAGAATTTGTATTTTGCTTTCAATATCTTATCTTAATTTCAATGGAAAATATGAATAAATCTAAGGTTACCTGAGGAACAAGAGATAGCCATTTTTCCTAGAATAAAATCCTCCAAATTGACAACAACCTCTCTGCAAAAAATGTGCACCGGACCAGCTAAATGACAGTTCTGATGGCTATTAACAGAACCAGAAAACTGGCAGTTTGGATGGAAATTTTCAAGGCAACTTATGAAACAAAATAACTTTAGGTGACCCTTTATGATTGTCTGAGATATTTCCACACTGCAGGTCAGCTGCTCTGATTGACCAGGGCAAAGGTGAACTTTCTTCTGCTGTGTGGTCTCCAGAAAACATTTGTCATTTAATGAGCAAGGTGAAACACTGGTAGTGTTCCCTGACTTTATGGTTTTTGAAAGAGATTCTACACAGTGAGCTGTGCAGCAGGAAGAAGGTATCAGCTTAATGTGGATGCCAGACAAAGGTCTGAAATGGAGAAAAGCACACAAGATTAGCCAAATGGTAGTTTAATCATTGCGGGTTGAACCAGTTTTTTTTCAAAGAGTAGGAGACTGCTAAAGAGGGATATGAACAATATAAAATATAAATTACCTTAATGAGTTCCAGACATTGAAAACACCAACCAATCTTTTTAATGCATTTTTGGGGTAATTTATCTTCCAGGGAAAAAAATTGGTGAAACACTTCCCTAGTTCTTTATAAGGCACTAAACCTGTTTTTACTTACAAGAGTGCTTGATACTGAGGACAAGACTTAAATAACTGTTCTTTATTGTTTAAGCACCCCCATACCCCAAAACAGGAAAAAAATAGTCCAGGCATAAACACCATTTGACAACCTGGATCCACCGAACATGAACCACCATGGGGCCCCCAGAAATATAGTTACAGCCCTGTTCATCTGAAGAGAGGTGCCAACTGGGAAACTTTAGGAACCTTGACATGTCAGAATGTACACGGTTGGCTCAGCATCATCAGATGACAAGTTACTGCACTAACCTTCTAGCTGATCAGGGGGCCTCCAACCAAGGAAATAGCCGGACTGGGTGTGGGAAATGCAATGCAGAGCCCAAAGCCATGTATAGGCCTCAGTAAAAAGTGTGTCACAATAAGTCCAAATATGATATGGTCCAAAACATAAAGGTCTTTACTGACTTTGCTTCCTGCGCTCTTTCTGACACCACATAAATGCTTTAACAGCTATCAGATAGGTCAAATTAAATTAAGAGGTACCTCTGGTGAAGCTTTACTACAGATTTTTTAAAAATATTTAATCTTTTTATTGTTATAAAAGCCCAATTTATCACATAAGAACAAAACACGCTGAATATATAACAATGAAGTATGTAAGTGAGCAAAAAGCAACATAGGGAAATAATGTGAGAGTGAGACTTTTTTTGTCGTTCATATCCTTCTTTTAAGGTTATCCAGTCCAAGCCTCTTTATTGACCCTGATTCTGTAACATCGAAGAATTATTTCACCTGGGTAGACACTAGCAGACTTATGAGAGTATGTTTGGATAATATGAGCCATCTTAAATGATTGTCAGGCACAACATGGGATCTTACTTGGTTTAAAAATTTGTGTCACAGATGCATGAAAGGGGATCTTACTTGGTATATACATTTGTGACACAGAGGCCAACAACAAGTTGTGAGTGCACAGATCTTGTCCACAGCTTCTCAAAAGACAAATACTGTACAGGAACTTCTAATGGACTGGTGTAAGGTTTTCTCTCCATGCTATCTCCAGATGATGGTAGTACAGAACCTTTTATTATAGGTACTAGTGTGGGCTGGTGAAGAAAATAGTGATTCAATATCACAGCAGGCAATGTACGATATTCATTTTATGTTGGTTAAAAACCAAAGTTATGAAGTCTGACCTTTAGAATGGAGGTGTATAAATGTTCTAAAACTACTAAATTAATATATCTGATAAAATATAATATGAGCCAATTTTCACTTTATTTTATCAGAATTAAAACTAGCATGTGATACATCATTTGCCAAATTTGAAGCCATCAATGGTTTTTTTGTGTTTTTTTACTCTCCACATCCTTTATTAAAACTATGCTTTGATAAATGCCTACAAAAATATTGATTTTGTACTAATAAAGTTAAATTTATTTGATTTTTCATAACAATATCCTAAATGTTTGATTTATGACTGGTTTGATTGAAGTCCAATTTCTGGGCTCATATTTAGAGAGGAGATTTATACATGATCTGGAAGGGTAACATGACATAGATTTTAAATTTTTATGTGTTTTTTTTCCTCCCAATTTATTTTTTATCTTTTCTATCCCTTTTGTGATATGCTAGTTAATCATGAATCATACCTGACTAGTTATCCTACAGCCTTGTTGATGTAGATTAAATCTTGAAATTTGATGCCAAACTTCCTTGACAAATGCCACTTTGCTTCTCAGCATTGATTCTGATGTTCTCAAGGCTGATTCACATGTCTACAAGAATAAAATTAAATTAAAGAAATGTTGTTACTGTTATGTAGGGCCCAATTTCATCCTTTGCAAGGGAGTCTTTAGGGACCTCTTACTCCAGTAAATAATTTTAGGCACCAGATCTTAAACCTGTCACCTCTCATCTAAACACATCAGTATAATTGTTTTTACAATTGTCTTATTACACATTTACCAGAATTTTAAAATTTATTTTAACAGTTGCTATATAGTCTAATGTGACTGCAAAAATTAATTCAAATCCTTTATTTTCATAGTTCATAAACTGCCCTCAGTTAACACATACCATTTTTCTTGATAACAGAGCAGTTACTGCACACTGAGGTTGTTCCAAATGTTCTTTCTTCATCAGTTGTCTCCCTGTGATAGCTATCTCATTTTCTGGATCATTTTCAAAATCTTTGTCTCCCTCAACAACAACAACATCCAATTCCTTAAGAGAGGGAAAAACTAATACATCATCTGCAGTTGGCTCACAATGGCTTGGGGAAAAAACTACAACCAATAAATCCAATCCACAATGCTGAAAGTCACAGCTGTTGATTGTCAACACTGATGACCAATATTTCTCTACCTGGCAAGTGAAGAAAAAAGTAAAAATTGTGTAAAGTTTTATATACCTTTATTGCATGTGTTTAAAATTCTATATCTTTTTTTGTAATTATTGGCTAACCAATTATAATTTCTTTAAAAAAGAGGATCAGTTATGACAAAAAAACTATTAAAAAGAACTTAGCAATAACAGACAATCACCTTCTCTTTAGTCCAGCTGATGAGGTAACATATTGAATTAATCTGTACAGCAGTTTTATCGTCACCACTCAAACTGGTCAAATTGATCATTTTGATATTGGAATATTCCCCGACTCCCTCAGTCCAATTCACAGCTTCACAATTTGCTGTGATACTAATACATGCCGTTAAGACACTGTCTACAAATTTAAGAATATAACCTGTGTCTGTTAATATGCAGGTTATAGAAGATAATGGCTGCACCTTTGAAGCATGATTTATTTCAATACAATATGAAAGCACTTGAACTCCTTTTAAAATTTGTATATAATCAGTGGCAAAAAAAGTTTCAGAAGGAATAGTTGTTATTGTATAATTTTTACTGATTAAAAGTTGTTCAGGTTTATCATATGATAACAACTGCAAACAAACACATTTCTTTATTCCAAGTTCATTGTATGATATAAGTGCTTGAGAAGTGTTATAATCATCATCATTAAAAATATTTAAGATTTTTATTTCCTTACAACTATTTAAAGTGGTCATAACTGCCATGAGTTTAAACTCTACAGTTGTGGTTAAAAATGTAGTGAAATCTTGATGAAAAATATGAAGAGTCATTGACGAATCATCAAGCAAGAGAAGCCGAAAGTTAGAAATTAATTTAAAAAGATTTGTATTTTTCAGATTGAAAGTGGGCTCCAGAATAAAGGTCCGTAGATGAACCAAAGAAAATTTGTTTGAATTTGAACAAATAGTGCAATTGGATTTAGTTGATTTGCATTGCTGTGCAAATGTGGGTTTTGTACAATAACAGTTATTTCTGGCAAAGTTAGATGTATCCTCCTTAACTCCAATTAAAAATAGTTCGATTTTTTCATAATCGGAATCATTTGTATTTCTCGTCTTCAGTTCTGGTAGCGTTTTGTTACTTAATTTATAACAGTCCTGAGAGTCATTAGATTTAGATTCACACTTTAATTGTAATAATATAACTGGAATATTACAGATGCTTCCTGCATCAAATGAGTAGTCAACAGCTATTATTTCAGCTGCCTTGTTAATGTTATCCAAACTGAACGAAAATGTATTCAATATTTTTTCAAGTGGTGATTGTAACGCATCAAAATCGTTTTCCATTTGCTGGCTTAGTTCTGCAGCCTCCAATTCTAAGCAGCCTCCACTGCCCCAGCTTCTGTCTGAAGTAACAGAAGAAGATCGGTTTACTGGTGATTGGATTTGTATCCATTCCACAGTCAATTGTTTGTTCTCAATACGAGGTAAGAATACACAATTTCTCCAAACAAAGCAAAGACCCCGTTCATCCATTCAGAGTAATGAGAGTTTACACAAATTAAATGAACGAAATAGTCTTTAGCGCTTTTCAAAAAGGAACGGATCTTTCCACGTCGATTGTAAATATAAGAAGCAAAGCATCCGCTTACGTCGATATGTAGCAGAAGACACTCACATTGGTGTCATATATTCATATATTGTTATATTGGAATTCATTGGTTGGCTGTTTCGTAGGCCTATAGGTTACAACTATTTTATTAAAATCCATTATAATGCCTATATTAATTGTATTCATCGATTATCACGATAAAATAATAAATTATATGATGTGTAAATAGTGTGTGCCAGTAGCCAAAATTCCCTCCTGGTTGTGGATAGCACCGCTCTCAAACTACTCAAAGGATGATGATGATGTTGAGACTTTTATTTTTATAGCGCTTGCGTCCGTGCTATTTTGGCATGCTCACAGCGCTCTGATGTCCTAAAATCTGTTTAAATTTGTTAAAAGTCTTTAAAATGGCTCAAACAACTGTTACAGTTACAGTAATCTAATATTGATTGGATTAGAGTTACTGCTACCCCATTGGCTGTTCTCTTATATAGCTGACCCAGAGGGCGAAGATGACAGACCACAGAACTGATATGAGTATGAGGGATCATAGTAAATTAGGTGTCGGTGTAGAATCCAAGCTCTCTAACAGTGTTGGACCAGGGAATTTCAGAAGCACCAACTTTTTTCAATGTGATGGCAACCTTCCGAATATTGGCATCAGAACCACAAATAATTGCCCCTGTCTTATCGCCATTTAATTTAAGTCTGTTTGATGCCATCCATGATTTTACCACAAGACAGCATTCCTCGAAAGCTTCCACCGCAGCAGAACATTCCAAAGGTTCAGGGCAGAAACACTTGTACAGTTCTGTTTCATCCTCATCCGCAAATAATTCGTGGGATAAACCACAGGTTTAAAAAATTCTGCGAAGCTGGCTAATGTACATGGAGAATAGGATAGGTACTAAAACTGAGCCCTGTGGCACACCACTGGTAAGTGAAGTGACCATAGAAGATGATTGGTTCACTACAATATGCTGAGTCATGTCAGTCAGATAAGAAGTAAACCAGCAAAGTGTAGTGCCAGAGATGCCCGCCTTATTCAGAAGTTTTGCCTGAAGAATCTCATGGTTAATCACAATAAGCAGCACTGAGGTCCACTAGGACCAATAGTGCCGGATCCCCACGGTCATAACTACAAGGAAAATCATTCATGACACAGAGTAGTGCATCTCACAACTATGTCCAGGTCCATAAGCAGATGGAAACTTATCAAATAAGATTCGAGTCCTGCGATCAGTGGTGCAAGAGCATCACCAAGGGGATGCGTGGGGAATGGAGCGCACTGGCTGAAACCCTCACACAAAATGGAGAATTTTAAATTTTACCGAGCTGGCTCAAGTCATTACAGTTGAATTTTTAAATTTATTTTCTCCTTTTAGTTTGTTTAAACTTCTCCTCTTTAAAAGAATGTCTTTTTTTTTTTTCCCTTCTTTTTTTTTTTTTTTTTTTTTAAAAAAATTTTAAAAAAATATTTTTTATTATTTTTAAATTTATTTTCTCCTTTTAGTTTGTTTAAACTTCTCCTCTTTAAAAGAATGTCTTTTTTTTTTTTCCCTTCTTTTTTTTTTTTTTTTTTTTAAAAAAATTTTAAAAAAATTCTTTTTTTTTCCCTATAACCTATAAAAATTTTTTTTTTTTAATTTCTGACAAAAATTTTTTTTTTTTTTTCTCTTTTTTTTTTTTTTTTTTCTTTTTAAAAAAATTTTAAAAAAATACTTTTTAGTACCCTATAGCCTATAGAAATTTTAATCTGTAAATTATCGACAAAATATATTTTTTTTAACATTGAATGCTTACAAAATCCATGTTAAAGGGACTGAACTCTTTACTTTAACCCTTTCATTACTGCTGGTTTTGGGGCATCGATTTTTGCTGACTCTGCAATAAAAAACTTACTATTTTGTTTAATTTAAAAAATATTAATAAAAAAATAAAGAAGAAATTTCAGGTACTTTTCATACTCTATTCGATTTACTTATTAACTTCTCAATAGATAAATGAATAAATAAATATATAGCATTGAAATATGATGTCAACGTGACGTCCTTGGTATTTCAGAAAGTTCTTTGCCTCTTTTTTATGATGACAATGTGACGTCCTTGGTAATTGAAAGTGGGTGATCGTGACGTCATGTCGACGTCATCTGTAACGAACGGGTTAATTAGGCAGAAAACTAAAAAGTATAACTAACGACCAAGGCGCCCCCCTTGTAGCTTTTTGTCTGTTGATCCGAGTCTCTAATTGCCGAACGCCCTGCCCCTACCCCCACCTCAAAATCCTACAATTAGGACCAATGGTTATTGGAAGCGAAAGGGGTGTGGTTGTTTTTTTTTTTTAAAATAAACTTTTCTGTCTTATTTCTAATTGCAATTACTCACCACCCCTCCATCGACCCAGGTAACTGGAGCTCTTAATCAGGTCAGCATGAGCTACACGCAATTAAGCTGGGCGACAGGGTCAAGTGTGACAACAAGGTTTAATGCTACAAACCAACTCGATGAAAGGAAGTCTTTAAAAAAACAAGCACTATGAACTATGATTTTTTATTTTATTTGACACTTTTTATTGCATAATTCAACCCAACGTAATGTACAAGATAACTGGATCATTATGTACAAGATAATTGGATCGTAACCATGATGAGAACCACATGTATCAATAGAAATAAAGCCATGTGGCTCTTTTGTAATCAATATTTAAATAAATGAGAATAATTCCTTATCCATAAAAAAAAATTTACAAGTGCAAAAGTGCTACAAATGGTTTTTCAGCATTATTTTCAGCACAAAGATTTTTTAAATGAGAGTAAAATTATGGCTACTAATATATTAATATGATCTAGAAAATATGCACAAGGTGAATTTTAAAATCCTTTTTAGGTGTTTGCTCCCGCTAATTTAAAAAAATCTGACAATGCTGTAATTAATGAACTAATGTATGTAATGTAATGGTCCAAAAGCTCATTATAAAAAAATGAAACTGGTAAGTATGTCCTGATTTGAATGTACATGACATCATATTTAAAAAAAAAACAGTCTCTAGGCAAAAATATAATTGTTTAAAATGCATATGCTCTCTATAAAATCAAATTTTAATTGCCTAACTCAGATATTGGGTCATAATTAATAATACACAATATCCCTTCTCCAGATTTGATGACTATATACTGGTCCTAGTCAAACATCACTTTGACTATCTTGTCCTATACAAAACTGATTTCACAACAATATATATCTTTCAATTTTTTAAATTTTGTCAGCAGTTATGTTAAAAAAAAAACAACTAAATAGACCATTGTGAACATTTAACTTGCGCTACTCTATAATATACATCAAATAATCGGAGTGTGAATATCAGAACAATAAGTATCACACCAACATCTAATGGTGGAAAAACAATAGTTAGCACAGCTCTGAACAGGAAATATTGTCATAGAGTGCAATGAAATATTGTCATTCAGTGCAGTGAATTAGTTTTGTTTACATAACAATGTTTGACAACCATAACAACCCATTTAGTCACATGTTTTCCAAACATATCCAATCGTTTAGGTTTATGAACAAATCTATAAGTTAGAATGTGTCTATCCTCCATATTCATTGCTACTGCTAGTATGTTAGACTCAGTAGGCTATACATAATATTTTTTTATCACCCCAGAGATATAAAAATCGTATTTGTAATAAAAGAAATCATGACAATATATAAATGTTATGCATTATAAATCAAGTAATTTAGGGAAATCATATTTTATCATGACGTAATCAAGCAAAACAGAAAGCATGCAGTACCAATATTAATATGCCTATGGCCAATATGATAAGTAAATTCATGTAAAAAAAGGTGAGAACAAATTGAACAATAAAATTAATTTCATCTACACCAAATTGACAGTTACTAAGTTAACAAAAACACAACACTCAGAAAGAATCCTAAGTAGGTGTATAACCTTAACTTGTACATCATGCTTAAAGGAAAAAAAAGTATAAGGCATATAATGCCAGTGCAATAAAAACCCAGGATAAACGTAATTTCAATAATATTCTAAATAAATATGTATAAGTATATGTTCGCTGTTTAGTCAAAGCAGTATTTGCAGTGGTGGTTTTAAAATAAAAATAGATTTTTTATATCACAATAATTCATCATAGAACATATTTGCATTGGCAGGACAGGTCTTGCACTCTTGTTTTGACATGTGACACAACATGGGGTACAAGTGCTCTAAAATCATAGTTCCAGAGGATGGGTTGGTGGGAATCTGGTCCTTGTCTTTGTTTTGAAAAACTTATGAATCTATAAACTATAGTAGAAAGGAAAATTGCTAACCCAACCTTTCGCTGATAAGAAAATAGCCATTACCTTCTAAGAAATATTAAAATTTTGTATAAAGCTTAGACTTCCTGTAAAACTGCTTCTACATTAATAAAATAGTGCATTTCATTAACAGAGTCCCTCAAAGATACTTCAAACAATTATCTAAATTAATTTTTTTTAAATTTAATAAGTAATATAAATAAATGGAAGTACTTCTCGCAGAGGCTTTAGAACAAGATATATTGATTAAAATAGTAACAAACTGTGTAAAATTATAGAAAAGATACTTTGCAATGATCAATCAAGAGATAATACTCCAATAACACTTACATTCACAGATAATGTATGATTTACATAAAAAGAAAAAAATTAAAATATGACTGAACACATTGTTATCAATATTTAAGAAAATTGTGTCATTTAACACTGAATGAGAATTTTCATAATTGTAAGGCACTTGGTGGAGACCTTGGATAAAATAACATTCTATAACATTCTCAAATGATTAATCTGTACCATATGTCTGAATGGTATTTGTCATTAAAAAGCTCAATTTTTTATTAGTTATGAGCTCACTTTTGTTTATTAAAACAGACTACAGCATAATAAAAAAAAAGCCACATTGACTTTTTACTTTGCCAGA